GAGAGAGCACGCCGAACAAATAAACAAGACACGATTTCGCAGATTATTGCTCAGCAAAACGTCGTAAAATTAAAAAATCCAATGCCGACGCGCATGCTTGTGTATACGTATTTGTTTCTATCCCTTCAATCTATCCCTATTTTTTGTCTACTTTTTATCCATTAAAAGAATGTAGATTTCTTACTAAAAATATATTTAAACAAATTTTTTTCAATTGCGTAAATATTCTTATTTCGTGTATAAAAAATTCAATTTTGGATGCAAATAAAATTTTCGGGTAGAGACAGTCAAGTCGGAAACCAAATGTCATCAAATCGGAGAATTTAGAAATGAATAATCAATGATAGAATTATACAATATTTTCTGTATATTAATAAAATAATATAAGCATTTGTTGCAAGTAATGTAAATATTTTATCGAGGAAATTTATACGTGTATAATGTGAACACTATGTTCATTTATTTGTTCCTGCTATTTGACTAAATATAGTAACTAGACCGAGATTCTGTATATTTTTATTTCGCGTTGCATCAAGAGCAACATCAAATATTGTTTATTAACGAAATGATAAACGGATTCAAACAAATGTGCGCGTTGTGATCGTCATCAGCATAGTCATTTCAAACGGTAAGAATGTTACGATCGTTCGCAACCGGAAAGAATAAGAAGCTTTGCCCAACAGATTAGTATACAATTCGACAATAATGTTCAACAAAAAAGTGGCTAACAGACGGTACATTATGCAAATTTGTTACATTAAAATTTATTACATTACTGTAAACGTCATAACTGTTGCTAATTTAAAAGCGAGCTTTCCTCCGCTAATTATAAACTTAATCAGAGGTAATAGTTAATTTTTAATCATTCCAGCATCCGTGGAAATTTTTCGGTACTGTATCTTTCGGGCTCCGCGTATCGTCGGTTCGCTCGCGAACTGAAAAACATTGGGCGAAGGTCGTTCTACTACAAGAAGGATCGTGTATAGAAAGCAAAAATGAATCATAAAGAACTCATAGAGAGTCTATACGCCAAATTTGGCTTGAAAATGGAACATTGCGCAAATCTTTGTTTTATGTATCTGAGCCCGACTGTGGCCAGATCGTCGCAAATCTAATTCATGCGAAAGAGTCTCTCTAAACAATATTCTAATATAACGTAGCACATGTATGCGAATGCATCGTAAATATTCATTATAGGTACACTTTACGTAAGCGATATAATTAACGATGTGTAATATTTATTTACGGTGCGAGATTAAACTCAATTAAATAGCATGGCGTGTGGGTGCCTAATTAAAATGTTACTGATCGAGAAAAATTGAGTTAATTAGTCGCCTGTATAGCGTTAAAGATATAATTAGATTCGCGATCGAATGGACTAACATTATTATTAATGTTAATATAAATATGTAGTAATGCATAACAGTTCAATTCAAAATAATGGAATTATTATAATTATGCCACATAAAGTCTCTATATCGTAGCTTATGATCAACTAAAATGTTAATGAGAAAAATAGGTTCAGGGTTATTTGCTTATGAATTGTTTTAAAAAATTGAGCAAAATGTTACATACTGTTACTGGAAATTTTTATATATAAATCTCTTTCAAACGACAGAACATTTTTGGAGGTGATATTACAATTTTATTCATTCTAAAACAAATAATCTAATAAAAATATTCTAATATTCTAACAAATATTCTATCTAAATGATAAAAAAACTTCTAATGGAAATAATGCGAGAGGCTTGAATTTATTGCTCTCGTAAATTACTTGAAAGATACTAACACGTGCGTCATCAATGAAATAAAAGAAAAATAATAATCTTGAGTAATTTATATTTCAGTAATTATACATAAGTGAATTAGCCATCGCATAGAATGAATGTAGGACTTGCGATCGATAAAGTCGGGGACAGGTACATATCTTTACGTTGCGTCTCTTTCTCGTGTGATAGATAGTAACCTTTTCAATTAAGCGATATACATCGCATAGAGTGATATAGAAACAATTATGCAAACAAATATTATACAAAGAGCGTCAGTTCTTGACGTTATTCGCGTATATACCAATTCCTCTATATAATTGTTAAATATTATACTGCTGCGTTAAAACATAAAGTCACACATTGTTTTTTTCTTGTAACGATAAAAGTTACAGATTAAAAATATAGTCAAAAATAATAAATCCAGAACAGAAGCGATACAATGATATGATGTATATATCATGAGATACATGATTTTATATTATTATACATTAGTTATTATATTTATGTTATAAAAGAAAAACGATTATAAAAGGAAAATAAAATTCTCCATGAAGACGTTCTGCCCGACTCCATGCGCAAGCATATACGTCTTATGTATTCGTCATTCGGAGTAAATATTTTTCCGGTAACGGCACGAGCAGATTCCGTGCGAGAATATGAAATAATAAGCGATACATACGACAAAAAAACTCTGCCCAACGCCATCCCGATGAAATATTTACTCGACTCGCGGAAATCGTGCATCAAACTAGTGAACTCAATATTGCTGGCGGGGGTTTCACCGATTACGAAAGAGGAAGTATACAATTGGCGTGGTTCGATCGATATACCGGGGCAAAAACAAGTGTGTGTAATAGACAAAAAAATCACATCGAGCGCGTAGCTCTGCAGCAGCGATTCCCAATATTTTCTTTAAAAACTGTTAAAAAGGTAGAAATATGCATTTTTTTTACTAATCCAAAAACAAAGCATATATTGTCAAAATTTTAATATTGCATAATTTTATAAATATGTTATCCATTGTATATTATGATTACAATATATACATATTTGTATGAGTATATTATTCTATATTTAATCGTAATAGTAATATAAGATATTTAGAGTAGTTATGATAATAAAAAAGCAAAAGACTATTAAAATTTAAAAAGATGCCACTTTGCTTTTAATTGCATGTTATTATGTTAAAATGTAATCTTTCAATTCTATCTTTCCTTTTAGAGCATTTGTTTTATTTTTATTAATACGATTTTTTTCTTTATTATATTTGAACTATTAATCATTTTCATGAACTCCTCCTTTTTTTCATTGATTGAGAATCACTACTTAATAATACAGCAGAGAACTTTAGGGTTTGCAATTTTTATGTGCTGTTCAAGACTACTTAGCGGAAACAAACTACCTATATAGGATACATTGAACAAGCTATTAATCATATGTGGTCGACAATTATTATTATCTACATTACACTTATTCACCAAATGTTCAATTCCTCTAAATTTAATAAATACATCTTATACTTAATAAAAATTATAATATTATACCTATAAAACTTCTTTCTAAAAAAACTATGTTACAAACTGGCAAAATTATTTAATACAAAATGTTGGATTATTTGTATACATATACTTTCAGAAAATATTATTAGAATCCTACCGTAGCAAAAATGGATTTTCTGAAATAAATAATAAGAAAATTATTCAAAGATTATCGTATCACACGAGCAAAAAGATGGAGAAATGAAGAAATAATGATCGTCTTCATAAATAATATTATGTTTTCTTTTGATGTAAGTTATCTTTTCGAGAGTATGTCGATGAAATTTGAGCCGAATAAAATATTTTGATCAATTATTTTTTGTCTCTTATATGATATGATATTACTAATGTATTGTATCAATCAACTTTAATTGATAAAAATCGGCAACTTTAAAATCTCCCATTTTAAATCTCAAATGTTTTGAGCAAAACTTCGTTTACTTCGATTAATTTTTATTAATAAATATTAGTAAATAGTATAATTACTATTTATGGAATACTCGCATTGTGGTGAAAAATGATAGTTGGTTAATCACACAAATAATTAGGTCTAACGACGGTCGCATTGAGGGTAGGAGCGGGGTGTGCTCGACGTGCTTCCTTTGTATACACGTAAAAAAAAAAAAATAGATTGCCCGCATTAAACGCGTTCAACCTCGTCGTCTTATTGTTACGCAACAGTTCGCACGACATAAAAAATAAAAAAAAAAATAAAAAAATGTTCTCTGTAGCTACACGATTTCGACGAGTATAAACTGATTTTTTCATTACTGCGATTGCAATGAATGCGTATTTATAGTTGTAATAACAAATTGACAAATGAAACAGATATACATATATAAACTCCAAAACATGTACAAATAATGATATTTTATTCCAAATATATGTTGCAGCAAAATTAGCCTCGATTACAAGATAAAGAAAACTTCTCTGTCATTATTTTAATACTTTATTTTAATATTATTTTATATATAATAACATTTATACAATAAAACACATTTTATAGAAAAAAGAGACTTTAAGATCTTTAATTAGAGACCTTTGAGTATATGTATATAACTTAAAATAAGATAGTTATATCGCGCGCGAAAGGTTGTATTGGCACTCCAGTGACGGTTACAGCTCCGTCCGACTAAACGCACATCATTACTACTGGCGAGATCGCGCATCCAGTGCAATCGTCATTGATCTCTATGTATGCGCGTACGGGATGATTCGCTTAAGTTTCTGATGCCGAGTCATTTATTATTTCAAATTTCGAAGTTTTACGCGATGAAAAAGAAATCGCATTCCTTTTTTAATGAGAAAAAAATAATTCCAACATATTTTAAATCTCGCTTTACATACCTTTTATATCATCCAAAAGGTGAAACAGTTAGCACTAGATATATGTTAATTTTAATATTACTATAAATTATGTACATTTATGTTCCACAAATTTAGTTATATACATAGATTAAAATTGGAATTAATACGTGTAGCATCGTGCAAGAAATTTCCACTCTATTCTCAAAAAATAAAATAATATAGTCTTTTTTCTTTGCTGTATTTTTGCTGTTCTTATTAAAGTCTAATTAATGTTAGTTTTCGAGTCACAAATCAATCGGCATCATTTCGAACCAATTCGCCATACGCGTCGTACATAAATACACGCGAGGTGTTTGTATGTGCACACATTCCACGTGGGACTTACGCTAGACGTGATATTCCCCTGGTTGGCGTGCTGCGCCGGTACCTCGTCTTGATAGTAATCGTCGTTCTGGGCACCTGTTACGCTCTGGGCGAAGTCGAGCAGCCGACGATTCGGGCTGTCGGGTGTAGCGGGCAGGTCGTTGGGCAAGTTTGGGAAGCAGGCGTTGGACGCACTGCGCCGATGTCGCGACAAACTGTAATGCTCGTAATTGCGATAACAGCCGGGCCCGGTCTGAGCGGGTCCGCGGTCGCACGCGGACTCCCCCTCTGTACTATTACCATCCACCCCGGACATATTATGACCTGGAAACAGGTTCAGGGTCTGTGTTGCTCCTCGCTATGCGGCGCGGCCGAAAAGTAAGCCGAAATGAATGAGCTTCTAGCAAACGAACTTGGGATGTCGAAAAGAAAAGAACAAAAGTTATTAATCAAAAAAAAGTTTTTTTTTAAATAGTGTACTTATTCACTAATTTAAATTTCTGTATGCTAATGTAAGCTCATAGGAAAGACAAAGGAAAAGAGTAAGAAAAAAAAAGAGAAAAAGTGTGCGTGTAATTATTTAAATATTTTATATATTTTCAGCGATTATTATTTGGTTTGTCGAATCTGTGGAAATCCAAGAGACATTAATCTAAATAGAGTTTAAAAGCTCGATATAATAAATAATAAATAATCTATTAATGATAGAATAAATTATAAGCTCTGATAATGATAATTTATTAGTTACAAATTAATGTACATTGTAAATACATTGTAAATAAAACTAAATCTATATGTTTGTTCTGACGTAATTTTTATGAATAAAGATAAACCAACTCTAGATCTGTAAACATTAAATTATTTCCATTTTTAATATTAGATTATATTTTCTTACAAAAAAAAATGTAGAAACTGAAATGAAAAAAATAATTTCGAAAAATTTAATTCAAAACCATTTAAAGTTAGAAAAAAATTTTAAAAACTTAGAAGAGAAAAAAATTTTATATGTCAAAAGCATGAAAGCAAAAATTGTCATTTACTATCATTTACTAATCTATCAAATCGTATGTTTCCGTTACTCTAAAATTAATACTAATTCCAGATTTTTAGCAAAGAAGGAAAGATTATATATAGGGCAGTATGGCGTATATATGTGCTCGGCGCTACTCAGAAACGAGTTAATAATATACTGCGATCTACAAGGAAAGGAGATGCCTATTATCCGCGCAATCGCGATAATAGTGTAATCCAATTACGATAAATTTTAGAGTTTGCATGCGCCCTTTACCTTGTTCCCGCGACGGATGTTATGTATTACACATGAACGTGTGTCAGGATCGTCGTGAATTGTGAATTGATTCTGTAACGGTAAGATCTGTCGCATGTCATCTGAGTCTAATTGAAAACGTAATCGTAGCCTCGATAAAAATCTGGGAAACTAATCGAGGTACTGTAACACGAAGTTAGACTCTACGAGCACGAGTCCACTATATCTCACGACATCGCGATTGAGGCAAAATGAAGGGAAGAGGAGAAAGAGAAAATAATAGCTAATAAACAAGATACGCGTGCCGCTCCGCAAGTTGGCTCGCAGAAACGCGACGATGATCTCGGGTCGAGGCCGAGTTTGTTCATTCGATAAGTCGATGACGCGAAGCGCATCGTGACACAAAGCAGGTCGCAGATATCCTCCGCGAACGCATCGATCCGTCGCTTACCAGTGTCGACGATGACGTCGATGAGATCCATGCTCTTGGCGAAGGCGTCTCTCAGGTTGATGTGATGAAAGGACACGATGCTGCCCTCCCGCTTGGCCCTCTCAAGGGCCTCCCGCCTCTTGATGGCCTTCTCTCGTCTCATCTGGTTTTTGTAGAATTCGGCGAAGTTGTTGACGATAATGGGAATGGGCAACGCGATTACCAGGACACCACATATACAACACACACTGCCGATCACCTTGCCGAGCGGGGTCGTGGGGTAGATGTCGCCGTATCCGACGGTGGTCATTGTGATACCCGCCCACCAGAAGGTCTCTGGAATGCTTATGAATTTGGTCCCGGGCTCCTCCTTCTCGGCAAAATAGGCGAGGCTCGAGAATATAAGGACGCCCATCGCCAGGAAGAGCATCAGCAGGCCCAGCTCTTTATACGAGTTACGTAGGGTGAAGCCAAGGCTCTGTAACCCGGTCGAGTGTCGAGCCAGCTTCAGAATCCTCAGGATCCGCATTATACGAAAGATTTGCACTACCCTGCGCACGTCCTGGAACTGGTCGTTCGCGTTCTTGTTCGTCTCGACCAGGAACAGAGATACAAAGTATGGCAGTATCGCCAGCAGATCGATCACGTTAAGACCGCCCTTGAAGAATTTCCACTTGTCCGGTGAAGCACTGAACCTAAACAAGTACTCGAGGGTGAACCACGAGATGCACACGGCCTCCACCATAGCGAGCTGCGGATTGTCTTGAAAGTTCCCCTTCTCATCATTCACTTGCATACTAGGAATGGTGTTGAGAGTTAATGCGATCGTTGAAAGCACAATAAAGAGTATTGATATCACAGCTATCACCTGGAAAAGCGACGAGTCAACCGATCAAACGAAGCTAATCAATCGCGAACTACCTCATCTACGTATAAAACATTTTCCTCTCTTCATATTTTTTTTTCTCTGTCCGTTTTTATCGAATCTATCCAAGTACTTTGTAATACGAGGACGATCCAATAATAAAAATACAGGTGTTGATTATACGTGACCTGTGCGCGCAACCTCTAAGTCACAGACATGTATCGTTCCTCGGGGAAGAGGAATAGTAACCGTGCAAGTCGTTATTGTTTCCCACCCAGTGATTGGAGTTTGGCTAGCAAACGAAATAGCCGATGTGATTGAAAATTATTCCAAGTTCGCGAAATCTTATAACTGCTCGCACCTTACGAACTTGGAATAATTTTCAATCACACTGGCTATTTCGTTCGCTTGCCAAACTCTGACCACTGGATGGAAAATAACAACGTTTGCACGGCTACTATTCCTCTCCCCCATGTAACAATATATGCTGGTAACTTCGAGGTTGCGCGCACAGATCACATATAATCAATGCCTGTACCTTTATTATCGGATCACTTACGTATATATACAATATTAACAAAAATTGAAATACTATTGCAATAGCGTATATTTGGATCAAAGCGAGCCGAAAAGTCTCATCATTTTTTCCTCCGACGAATAGTTTTGAGATATCGTTAGAAATATTGTTAAGCTTCAATTAAAATCTCGATTGTTGTGAAAAAAAATATTAAATGCTGTCACATATTCGCCCAATTTTTAGCACACAATATCTCGACAACTGTTTGTCGAAAAAAAAAAAAAAAAAAAAAAAAAAAAAAAAAAAAAAAATAATAAAAAATATTTCGATTCCGCGTATTCGCCGTTGAAATATTATCTTAATTTTTGTTAAAAAAAAACTTCATATGTATATATACATAGCTATGCTATCCTTATCGTCTACCATAAAACAGAGAGTGGGGAGTAATAAATAACTCGCCTACATTCTAGCCTCTACGATCAAAAGGTACGAACTATTATGACGAACAATAGACACAATTGCTAAGACATATGGAATAATTCGAGTTCAATTTTTTCCTGAGATCTCGACATTCAATATCAATTACAGATTTCTTTTTTTTTTAAACCACGATACCATAGACGTGATCGAAGAAAATATTGCAGATACAAAACAAGAAAAATATATATTCGATTTTATACAGGTGATAGATACATAGAATAAAAAACACGATAAAAATTCAGTCAACGCTGAATATTTGGCAAGCGATATAATAATTGTGATGAAAAAAAATAAAAGCTCTCACTGCGCGAAAGAGTATAATACAATAAAATACGAAGCTAATGGAGGTACGATTAGAACGTTTTTTGCAGCGGTACATTAGAAGCATATATATATATGTATGTATATGTATGTATATGTATGTATATTAATATATATTAATATATATATATATATATATAATTTTTTGGCATATATATTACACTGTGTATTTATACAGTAAAGCAAGCGATACACTATAGCGATACACAGAAAGCAACTCTCTGATCGAATATTTTTGTTGTACATGATATTTACGTACAACACGTATGCATAATTTTCACATGAATATATTGAACGACTATAATAATTGACGCGCCATTTTTTCTACATCCCATAATTCTATTTTATATAAAAATATTGTAAAATTAGTCAAAGCCACTACGATATTTCCTAAAATTTAAGCTTGCTGATGAATAATATTGCTGCTCAATTAACACCTAACATCATTAAGGAAATACTATTTGCTGGGTGACTATTTAGCTCCAAGTACAAATTTGCGCTTCCCTGCACGTTTGATTGGGAGAAACAGCACGATAAATGAGTGCGTCTCATTGACCTTAAAGGATTCTTGCAATACAAGGTTCTTCGCGAAACCAGCACAAAGAAAGAGAAAGAGAGAGAAACCATCGAGGAAGCAAACGCAATCCTGATCAAGCGGTAATCACCACAAACGTAAAGAAGAACGAAATGTCACGCTGACGCTTCTGCGAAACTGAACGATCGATTTGGTAACAGGGAATGGATCGTAAAAGTGTATGACGCAAGACAACTTCATTTATCGGGTCTCGTCGTTTAAACGCAGTCTGCCCGACGTCGCTCGACTCACACAAATTTCATTGTATTGTTCGGTGGCCAGCGTATAAAAATATAGCTGTATGTCCCTTCAAAACGCCGCTCCCTTGTCCGACCTGAATCCCATGTACCCTTGTTTTCCGAGAGGTCACCAACTCGTACCATTTTCCCCGTCCCACCTGTTTTCACACCCCCTTCCCTATTACCACTATACTTTCACGCCAGTGCAATCGCTACAATGCGAAATCAATTCGCCGCTTTGAGGATTCAGCGAAATTATGAGATTATTCAACATAAGATAACAAGGAGCTTGCTTTGCAATATTTAAATCGCAAGTAAATAAGGGGAGTGCGTATATTCGGGGACAAATCAAAAGACTGGTTTTATACAACTGCTTATATGACTTGACATTCATTTTTTGAAAGATAATATATAGTGAATATGAGGAAATAATAATATTAGACGCTGGACTAGATAAAAGTTTTAAAGACTCATATCTATATAAAAACATAAAATATTTTATGAAAAGCAAATAAAAATATATCAAAACATATAAATGCAATTTTTATGAAAATCCAAAATTCAATCTCCAATTATTATTATGCCGTATGTCATTGTCATAAAAAAGTTTTGACAAAGTTTTGACAAAAGCCGTCTATTTAAGCAAAAGAATAGAATTATATTCGATTTTGTACTCTTTAATATTCCTTTTGAGGGCGAAAATTACGTAATAAACATTTAGAATCACATATAAAAGCATGTCAAAAGCACTCTATAAAAACATATAAAAATGGCACGTATATTCTTATGCAATTAATTTTTATAAACACACACACATTGTTTTATATAATTCATATCGAAAAATCCTGGAAAATCATGCTACTTTTGTCAATGAGAAAAGAATCGTTTAATTCATCAGATTTGCCCCGAATGTACTGTCTTGTAAGCAAAAGTTAAAAAAAAACAGCGAAGGGAGAAATATCGATTTGTCACATTTTAACCCTTTGCGATTCAACATTGATTTCAGTAATGATTATCGTCATTAAATATGTTCTTTTAATTTTAATGTTAATTACTCAAAATACATTAAAAGTAATTTTTATTATTTGGGGAACTTTATGAAAATTCTAAGAAATGATTTATCAACACTGTAGTTATCGATTCTGTCAAATATTTAAAAAATTAAGAATTGTCAGATCCGTCTCAACATATCACCGCAAAAGGGTTAAACATACATTATTTGAAAAATTTCGAATGAGAGAGATGTCGGTATTAAAATCAATGTTTCCGAAAGAAATGTACAGTAAAGTGCGTATGTGTGTGCGTGTATATATGTGCTAATGGTGGCGACAAGATCGTGTGAAGCAAGTGCGTGCAATGTACTCTGTGTGCGGAACGATTCGATAGTATTGTGTGGTAGAGCGAGTTCGTGCGAGTTGTTTCTTTACATTTTTCTCGTTTACAACGATATTGTGTGAATAGAAGAAGCCGAGATAGATTGAGAAAAGTAAGCGGACAAGAAAGGCGGACAAAAATCGTAAATTCATACATATTGTTTAGACTAAAGTGCTGCGGCCCCCCCAGAAGTACAAGCCTATGGCGATACGTGATTACAATTACTGTTCGAACAAGTATATCGTTCAGCCGTGTAACGAATGATGTTTACAGATCGTCTCTGTAAAATTGCGTTATTACGCTTTTAATCATTTCACTCGTTATACATAATACAGATTAAAATTCGCGCAATATATCAAGACATATAAATTCTTCTTTGCATAACTATAGTAAGTAAAAGTGTCGAAATACAGAGTAATAAAATATCAGTATTATAATAATAATATAGCACAATTTTATATAATTATTATATTAATATTTTATTATTCTGTATTTAGTATTCTGTATTTTCCATTATAGTCATGCAATTTTAAACAAGGAATCCACACATCAAGACATGTAATGCGTGAATAAGATTTGGTCCATCATTTGAAAAAAACTGAGCTTATGGTCAATGCATTAAAACGCAGGGAAATGCTATGGTAATTTTAACGAATGCGTATGAATAGCTTATTAATGTATAAACCACTGATCAAAGAACATAATATACGTTAATCAGCTATTTCAAAAATATTTTAATATTGCGACAAATGGCGATAGCTTTTATTAGTCATTAAATAATTGCTCCAGCCGCATGCAGAAAATAATGGAAGTCTTGACATATTCACCAACACGTGATTCTTTAATGTAATGCGAAGATCTGTACAAATATCTGGAAACACAAATGATCAAGTTACCAAGTATTTTGTAAACAATTTTGCATCTGAAAAACTAATCTTTAATTTGATGCATAACGTTAATAATTGAAACATTCTCTAAATAAGTATATGTATATGTACATAGTATACATATGATAGCCTTAATACATAAAAATGTGTATTACGTATAATATATCTAAAATCTAATATGTGTAAATTTGACTTTGCAGATTGATGGGTATTCAATTTAATAACTCATTTTAATTGCAATATATCTTGCAATCACATATTTATCTCAACATGATAGATATTTCCAAACTAGTTTATAAATATATAAATAATAAATTTTTACGAATTATAATTTTTAAGATTTACATAATGAAATTTAATTATAAATATATAAAAGATTTGACAGGAAACGTTAAGAACAAGACAATTTATTTTACTATTACTTCGAGTTGCAAGATTCATTATTTTATTTCCAAACTTGATATACTTGTTATTGATTATTAGTTAATTTGATATACTTGTATAATGAGCTATTCCATTGCTATTCCCATTTATTATTCGCCGGTCGCTTGTTCGTCCAACCGATCTAATCTACTCGACTTGTAACGATTAAAACGATCACAATGTATTCG